GGCACGAGAGTGGCTTGCGTCGCGTACCCGCCTGAGGAGTCGTGCTGCTGGAGCTGCTTGTCGTGGAGGCGCTGGGAGTGCTGGTGTCTCTGGTCCTGGAGGTGCTCGTACTGGAGGTACTGGAGCTGCCGGGACTGGTACAGCTCCTGGAGCTGGAGGTGCCGGTTCAAGGGGTGCTGCTGCTGGAGGTACTGGGGCTGGAGGCCGTGGAGCTGGTGCTGTCGACCCTGGCGTTGGAGTCCCTGGAGCTGGAGGTGCCGGTTCTGGGGGTGCTACTGCTGGAGGCCCTGGAGCTGGAGATTCTGGAGCTACTAGAGGCGCTGGAGCTGGAGGTACTGCTGCTGGAGTCCTTGGAGCTGGAGGTGGTGCTACTGGAGGCGCTGGAGATGGAGGTTCTGGAGCTGCTGGAGGCGCTGGAGCTAAAGGTGCGGCTGCTGGAGTCGCTGGAGCTGGAGGTTTCGGAGCTGCTGGAGGCACTGGAGCTGGAGGTGCTGCTGCTGTAGTCACTGGAGTTGGAGGTGCTGCTGCAGGAGGCGCTGGAGCTGGAGGTTCTGGAGCTGCTGGAGGCACTGGAGCTACTGGTACTGGTGGCACTACAGTGCCGCGACTGTTTTTCGCTTCGCCGTCACCGTCGTCTCTGCCAACGCCTGACTCCGTGCTTCGGTAGGTTCTTAGCCTCCCGTCTTCTACTGGCCTCCTGTTACAGCCTGGCGCACCACTGCCTGCTCCTTCTCCTTACACAGGGTAGACAGACTCGCTTACAAAGCGTCGTGAGTCTGCGTCTTGTCCTGCCTTGCCTGTTCGCGCGCGTCGCATTGGTCGTCGTGTTCCTCGTGAGCGTCCGCCTCCTGTCCCTGGCACGCACGCTATGGCACTTCGTCCTTCATCTGTTCCACAGCGTGTTCCTCTACCGTCTCCTCCTGCATCTTCTCTGCCTGACGTATAGGACCCTGAGTCTGACCTGGTTCGTGCTGCTCACCCTACTGTCATGCGTCTGCTCGCCACTGTTGTCACTGACCCGTCGATTGAGTCTGCTGCTGCGTCTGCCTTAGTCTCTGAGCTTGTTGACTTTGCTGCTGCCTGTCGTCTCGACTTCGCTGCTAGTCTTGTTGCTGAGTCTGAGTCTGTCTGTCCTCCGTCCGTCGGGGGTGAGTGTGCTCTTGGCACGGACGTCCTTGAGGACAGTTAGGAGGACTTTGAGTGTCTTGCAGCCGCTTCGCCTCATCTCGTGGCCATGCTGCTTGCCCCTGAGGGAGACCCGGATGCACCAGACATCCCGACTCCGCGTTCTTACGCTGAGGCGATTGCGGGTCCCTACTCCTCTCAATGGCAGACAGCCATGGACGCAGAGATGGCATCCTGGAAGTCCACAGGCACTTAGGTCGATGAGGTTCCCCTTCCTGGGGCGAACATCGTCGTTGGCATGTGGATTTCTAGGGTGGAGCGGCCGCCGGGTTCTCCGCGTGTCTTCAAGGCTTGTTACGTTGCACGAGGCTTCAGTCAGCGAGAGGGAGTTGACTTCTTCCAGACCTTCTCCCCCACCCCGAAGATGACCACTCTTTGGGTGCTGCTGCACGTTGCCACTCAGCGTGACTACGAGCTTCACTCTCTCGACTTCAGCACAGCGATCTTACAGGGCAGCCTGCACGAGGAGATCTGGTTGCGCCGCCCACCTGGCTTCACTAGGTCGTTTCCTCCTGGTACCCAGTGGAGCCTCCGCCGGCCAGTCTACGGTCTCGTCAGGCGCCTCGAGAGTGGCACGACACACTGAGGACGACACTTGTGGATCTTGGGTTTGCCCCTTCCACTGCTGACCCGTCGCTGTTTCTACGCACCGACACTTTCTACGTACATCCTCGTGTACGTCGACGACTTGGTTTTTGCCACTGCTGACACTTAGGCTCTCGCCCTTGTGAAGTCGGAGCTGCAGAAGAGACACACGTGTACAGACCTGGGTGAGCTGCGCAGTTACCTTGGCTTGCAGATCACCCGGGACAGAGCACACCGCACTATCACCCTGACTCAGTCACACATGGTGCAGCAGGTCCTTCAGCGCTTCGGCTTCACTTGGTCCTCGCCACAGTCCACTCCTCTGGCTACAGGTCACTCGCTCTCAGCTCCACCTTCGGACGAGTCCGTAGAGCCGAGTGGCCCGTACCCTGAGCTAGTGGGCTGCCTCATGTACCTGATGACCTGCACTCAACCTGAACTTGCGTACCCTCTTGGCCTTCTGGCTCGCTACGTGGCTCCTGGTCGGCACCGAAAGGTGCACATGGATGCTGCTAAGAGGGTACTACGCTACTTGTGCAGTACATCGGGCATGGGGCTCGTGCTTGGAGGGCGGAGCTCAGTTGTCCTCACTGGACACTCAGACGCTTCTTGGGTTGACTACCTGGCTACGCAGCAGTCGTCACAGGGTTACACTTTCAGCCTTGGCTGCGGCTCTGTTTCTTGGCGGTCTACCCGCTCATCATCTGATCTCAGCTCCAGTTGTGAGGCTGAGATGTACGCGACAGCCATGGCTGCACAGGAGTTACGCTGGCTCACCTACCTGCTGACCGACTTGGGAGAGAGGCCTCGTTCTCCTCCAGTTCTGTACGTAGACAACAAGGCCGCCATTGCCTTCTGTCAGGAGCACAGCCTGGAGCACATAACGAAGCACATCGTTCTGCGTTACTTCCTTGCTCGAGAGTTGCAGCAGCGTGGTCAGCTTCGTCTTGCTCACATGGCCACTCGGGCCAACACTGCTGATATATTCACCAAGGCACTTCCGTCTAGTGGTCATCAGCGCTTCTGTACTATGTTAGGCCTTGTGCCTGTTTCGTCTCACTTGCTCACTATGTGACTTTGGTTGTACTGTGATCTATATATATATACCTGCATGCTTGCTCTTGCTAGGTAGTGATCACTTTACTGTTGTTGTTCCATATATACCTCTGCATGTTGACTGGTCTTGTGACCCCTTGTTCTTCCCCACTTTGCCTATGGGGGTGTGTCAAACTATATATGTGTTAGTTCTGTGTAGGCTATAGTGGGGTAGCTCGTATGGGGTAGAACCCGAAGTTAGGGTTAGTACTTGTACCCACATTTCATTCAATGCAATCATTCCTGCTTGCTATCTTGACACCTCAGAGGCCTTCGCAACGAAAACTCGGGGAATTCCACGTAATGCGAATCTGTGGGTGGTACCTCAATTTTTTTTCTGCGGGTGACTATCACGGCGGGGATGTTTTGGAGACCAAACTGGTCGCACGTCACTTGGTCTGGGCGTTTGTGGATTTGGTCGTTATCGTGGTCATTTGGCTGGAAAATCTCGCATCCCTCGCCATCGTGTGACTCCCTTCGCATTCGCATGCCCCAACCAAACGGTCGGATTTTTGGTTTGGTCACAGCAATGTTACACACACCATGAACAACACATATGGCTATATTGTATACTACAACAAAAAAAAGAACACACACACAAAGGAAAGCCCAAAATAATTCAGCAGATTCATAGCTTGTGAACGTGGCAGCAGAGAAGGCATAAGCGAAGGAAGCTTGACGCTGGGCAGGCTGGGCTCGAAAATGGAAGTGCTGCTGCCCCCGCCTGACCCTTGGTTCTCCTCAAACCGCTGCACCAACAAGGAAAGAGAGCAGGAACACCAACCGGAGGAAACATACAGTACACTGGGGAAGTAAGACCTCTCGCCAAAACACGGCTGAATAAAGTTCGGTGCAGATAGAGAGTGTTGAAGGACTGGGAAGGAAGTGACTGCGGATGCAGGAACCAGGATCGCTTCACATGTGGCTTAGGAGTTGAGCAGAATTTAACACAGCTCACCGTTGTTTCCAATTTGACCAACCCCTCATCTGTGGCTCTAGGGTGAACGAATGCACTTGATGCTGCCCAGGGGCATGGTGTATCCAGGCATGCAGCGACACTTGGTCTTGGTGCCGTCCATTACACACTCCGCGTTGCGAGGGCAGGCAGGCTTGCAAAAGGCTGCACAAGGGAAACGGAGACCACGGGAGGTGCGGGAGGGGGAAATGCCGAGTGTTGAGATGTTCCAACTATGTCTGACACTTGACATGCACAGTAGATAGAGAGAGGGGCGTGCGAAGGGAGCATGGAGGAAGAAGGCCAAACATGACGCAATTGCAGTAAGTTCAAGGAGCTGTGAGAGAGGGTAAGGGGTATGATGCAAGCGAGAATCATGCACGAGCCACCACGGCTCTCAACGTCTCCTCAGCATCATGCTTCATTTCTGAATATTGCTCAGCATTGCGTACGCCATTCTCTCACCAGTGCAAATTCCGTTCTTCTTAATGTAGCCACGAGGACACTTGCAAACCCCTTCCCCCTTCTCCACCAGGCAAGGCACAGTTGCGAGACACTTGCCGGCCGCACAAGGATCTCGGGATGGCACGCGATTCACGGATGGCACGCGATTCACGGATGGCACGCGATTCACGGATGGCACGCGATTCACGGATGGCACGCGATTCACGGATGGCTTGGGATTCACGGATGGCTTGGGATTCACGGATGGCTCGGGATTCACGGATGGCTCGGGATTCACGGATGGCTCGGGATTCATGGATGGCTCGGGATTCATGGATGGCTCGGGATTCACGGATGGCTCGGGATTCACGGATGGCTCGGGATTCACGGATGGCTCGGGATTCACGGATGGCTCGGGATTCACGGATGGCTTGGGGTTGAGGGCTGGTTCTGGGTCAGGGAGGGAGCAAGGGGGGGGGGGTTGGCAGGGACAGAGGGAGAGAGGGGAGGGAGGGGAGGCGCGGAAGCAGGGGAGGAAGGTGTGTGAGGGTGGAGGAGACAGGCAGATCCTTGTGATTCGAAACACACAGATAAATAAGAGGGTGCGAGGGAAGGCGAGACGGAAGAGGTGAGAGAAGGAAGAGGGCGAGAAGAAAGAAGGTGACAAGGGAGAGCGAGGGTGAGATGGAAGAGTGAGGGATAGAAGCAACATCATTAGATGCAAGCAGGCGAGTCGTTATGTGGTGAGAAGAAAGGCGAGACGCAAAAGTTTGAGAAGAAAGTGGGCGAGAAGTAAGACGGGGATTAGGAAGACGGAGAGAAGAGGAAGAGAAGAAAGTGGGAGGGAAGATGGAGAGAAGGAAGCGGGAGAGAAGGAAGCGGGAGAGAAGGATGCGAGAGAAACGGAAGAGGGAGAAATGGAAGAAGGAGAGAAGAAAGTGCGAGAGGCGAGAGGTTGAGAAGCAAGCTGGTTAGAAGGGAGAGGGTGAGAAGGGAGAGGGTGAGAAGGGAGAGGGTGAGAAGGGAGAGGGTGAGAAGGGAGAGGGTGAGAAGGGAGAGGGTGAGAAGGGAGAGGGTGAGAAGGGAGTTTGAGAGAAGCAGACTCACCAACGCACTGGTTGTTCTGGAGCTGAAGCCCATCAATGCAGACGCACGTGGGAGGGGTGACATTAACATCGCAAGTGAAGTTGGAAGGACACCCCTGGGTCGCACAGGATGGCGGTGCGGCACTGGGCTCTGCACATAGCAAGGCGCAAGGGGTGGCCGAATGATTGAGATGGGCAGACATGGGGGAACTATTTACTTAGAGCTGCAGCAGCGGAGGAAAGGGATTAAGGAAAGAGAAGCAGGAGTAGAAGGGCTTAATTCTTGAGCGCCATGGCTCACTGCTGTGCTGGCCTTGGCACGTCTTGGTAGCGGCGATGAAAGGGAGGTCCCCAGGGCACACGCACTGCGCTGTGCCGTCCCTCAGAGTGCACCGAGCGACCGCGCCGCAATCCTCACAGCCTGGCGTGGGAAGGACAGCGGATTGGGATGGGCAGGAGGGGAGAGTGGAAGGGAAGAGCAAGGCGAGCGGAGGTTAAGGAGGGACAGATACTGCCGGGCCTGCGCTGACTTCCCCCCAGGGACTCGAGCAAGGCGCAAAGGAAGCAAGGATCACACACGATTGCAAAGGCGTGCCAACAAGAAGGAAAGCACACGGCTTCAACACTCCAAGAAACTCCAGTCGCAGGCATCCAACCCCCGGGGTTGCCTCCCGCACTACGCACCCACACTCGGGGTTGCCTCCCGCACTACGCACCCACACTCGGCAAGCAGCACTGACCATCGCGGCACTGCTTCTCATTGCTGTCGTAGAGCTGAGACCCAGGGCACACACACTGGTCATGGCCGTCCCTCACGATGCACGTAGCATCTGACCCACAGGGCTCACCGCAGCCTGTGGTAGAAGCATGGGGCGTTTGTGCAGGTAGGGCGGCGGGGCAAAGTAGGAAGGGGGAGGGAGAAAAAGGACACAGCGAGGTTGACGGTTGGGTCACAGCAAGCATGAGGTGAGAGCGATGAGTAAGTGAATGAGTTCAATGAGGGATGGCGGAATGCGTGCAAGTGAGCAGGGCAGGCGACTAGACTTTTGCAAGAGCACAGCAAGCCAGTGATCATCACCAAAATGGAATGTCCCGAAACTGTCCCAAAATATTCTTTTCGAATACTTTCGGGACAGGTTGAAAAGTGTCTCGAAAGACACTTTCGAGACTAAGTGAAATGTCCTGAAAGTGGATCGCCCAACTGACCCGAAAGTGTCTTTCGAGACACTTTTGGGACACATTCGAGACCTCTCTTCCTGTAGCATTGAGGACTCTCCCACGGACAGATTCGGGACGTCTCTGGGTTTGCTTGCATTGCAACTGCCTCTCTTGCGTTTGGCCTTAAAGCCCCATTGTATTTAAAACAGGACATTAATACAATGTTTATACAAGAAAACACTAGAAACGCTAATGCATAATTCTTGCACCATGATGTATACAAATTGCCACAACTTCCAAAACCATAAGGCTCAAATATATTATCTGGCATAACACAAAAACACCGCAACATCTAAGTAGTGGCTTCAGTTGAGTCATAATAAACGTTGTGCAGACATGAAGTAATCAATATTACCCTTGAACCGACGAAGTTGTTAGAAGACAATTACAAAAATGAATTGATCCAATTATAATATATTGAACCGCAACATAGGCATATAGTATGCTGGAAAACATCATTTGTCAGTCATTGAGGTTAGAAAACAAAGCTCCAGAACAGAATGAAAAAAACTTACCGTCGACGAAAACATTGACATCTCCTTTTAGCAAGTTCTGTTCAGACAGATCTTACAATCAAACAACAACGTTGACACACCAAACATTTTTGTTTACAATAAAATAACAATGTTCAAGAAAATGAATTTGCAAGAAAACGTACAAGTGAAGTAGATGATTCATCGTGTTGAATCGTACGAAACGCCATGATTCCTTTCCAACGTCATTGAGAAGATGTCACTTGCTATCCTGATTCAATGCCACGGGAAAAAGGATGAACGGATGGGAAAGCCAGTTTGAAATGTGACGCGGTAACATAGTAGGGGACGTAAGCAGTGACGCGAGATGAGAGAGACTTGAATGAACTAAACAAATAATCGTCAAAATCATGGTTCTAGTTACGAAAGACGAGTTAGAACAAGAGTGTAATTAATGACAAACGAAGACTGCCGGGTAATATAGTGATTTAAGGGCGTAAATGTTAGTTGAAGTGTTGAACAGAATTAACAAGTCGAGCCTAGTTACTGGGAGACACAAGAGCAGAGCAGCAAATAACAAAGTGAAGAACAAAAGGTGACGAGAGAACAACGCCTTCTTCTAGCAACAAGTTTGGATCGTTTTACGGTATGGATGGGTTATAGTAGTTTCGTATCGGTGATCGAGATGGGGTTCACACCATGAAGTGGACCTCACAGGTGGTTGAATATTTTAGTTCTGTGGTGGACCTTTGGCAGTGACGCGAATTCTTTTAGTGCACGTGGACGATTTCGGCACTGCTGGCAGGTGCCACGTATTTCCTTTCGCGACACGTGGCGCGAAATTTTGGTTTAGTGGATTTATATTTAAATTGGAGGCATAATATTTACGTTAGCTCCTAGCGCAGTGGTCTTGTACTTCAGATATTTTCCGAAGGTGTTGAGTTCGATTCCCAAAGAGGTTCTTGACGCTAAACACAAAAGCAATATTTTGTTTTGTTGTACTTGTTTTGAGTGCCAGTTTTTGTAACAAACAACTACTGGTAACATTGTGGGATTATGATTACCACCAACATTGTGGTGTACTTATATTTCGTTATGAAATATTCCAGAAGGGTACAACACGAACGAAAATCATAAACAAAATCTACACCCAACGCAATGGAACTGACATCGACGGGCATCGAACCTGCATCTTCTGATCGCGTTGCAGTTCTAACCTTCCCAGGCCTGGGCAGATTACGACACAAGTCACTTTTGGGACATGTTGAAATGTAGCGCAAAACCGCCTAAGACGAAAATGTCCCGAAAGTGTCTTTCAAGATAGTTTCGGGACGGATTTGTGTCTGTTCTGGGACAGAATGGTTTCGGGACAGATTGGGGACCACGCAATTTTGGTGATGATGCCGCGGCTGATGCATGTGGCAGTATGTGACACACACTGTGTGGCAGTCAGCACGGTGCGATGCAGTGCGGGCGACGGGCATTGGCACATGATGGGCACGCGTGTGACAGCTAGCAAGTGAGTGCGGGGCCAGTGGTGCAATCTCACCCGTCTCGCATCTCACTGACGCTGGCAACGCCGCGGCAGGGAGCGACCTGAGAGCAGCAGCAGCGGGTGCATGGGGGCGGCAGGGGAGCAGAGGGAGCGATCAGAGTGAGAGACGTGGAAGTGAGCGCGCGTCACAGACCCGGACCCACCGAACCAAAGCAACTGCCTGGGAAGCAAATTGAAACCGCTGCGCAGCAGATGCGAGCTCACCACTCCGTGAAGGAATAATCCACGAATTGACTCCTCGACGGAGGACGCAGGTACGTCACGTAGGGACCTCCCGCGCAGCTTGGCGTGGAGTACAAGGAGATGCTGCTGCACTTGTTATCGAAATAACGGAAGCCGCCCCACGAGATCTTGGCGTTGATCTGAGTCCCATCCACGAACCAGCTCCGATCCACGTCTTCGCACAGAGTGTCGTGGATAAGCAAGTCCGCGTACTGCGTTGATGTGTCTGGGCCTTCGAACCGCAAAGGCGAGTCGCATACAACGGACAACGCGCTGGCCTCTGCGAGGAGCGCGAAGAAAACCAATTGAGCGAAGGTATCTGCGAACATCATTCAGCGAGAAGACGGTAACGGTAACGCTCGAAACGGTGCTGACAGCTGACCTTTTCAGACTGCCGTATTACCCCGGATATAGGCGCATATGCGCTTATAATAAATTCATTTTTTTTAGGGGGGGCGCTTGTAATTGAATAACGGCCATAAGCGCTGGCGCTTAATACAAATTTATATGTTTAGAGCACCAAATTGTTCATTTTCTTCTTGCCGATTCGAAATGTTTCAGTGTCAGAAAGCAGAATCTCGCGCAAGCGATATTCTGGGTTCACACACAGGCAAAGACACGTCATGGCAGCACATCCTGACTGGACGCGCAGCCAGTCAGGTCTTCGCGAGTCAAATGAAGCGAAATTGAATTCTGACTCGCTGCAAAAATGAGTTCCGTTGCCGTTTTAAACAAGAACTTAAATAAAAAATTGCACGTGCGCTTATAATAAGTAAAGGTTTTGTAAGGGGGGCGCTTATAATTGAGGACCGGCCATAAGCGCCATGCTCCAGATATAAGCGCCGGCGCCTTTAATAGGACGGCGCCTATATCCGGGGCCATACGGTGTTACGAGTGCAATTGAGCGAGCGAGCGAGAATTGCACTATCGAAGCAAAACATGTTGAAACTAAGAGCAAAGAAGGAATGGTAGAAGTGTTAGAGGTCCACTGGTGATCCCCGATTGATCCTAGGGAAGGGTTACAGGCATGTTGGCCTGGGGGGTTATGGGCGCACTGACCCGCTACTTAACAAGCCCTTTTATCCCAATGGTCTAGTGGTTGGGATTCTGACAAGAAGAGGGTTTGAACTAGCACGCAGGTGGGATACCTATAGGAAACCCTAAAAGGGTTGTACTCACTGTTGAGTACCCCACTGTCAAACTTGTATGCTATAGTCTGTGTAGGCTGTAGTGGGGTAGACTATATGGGGTACAACATTTCTAGGTTTTCCTACTTGTACCCACCTGCTTGCTAGTTAATTCATTCCTCATTCTTTCACATGGTATAGAGCAGGTTCCCTAGTGGGAACGCTTCCTTGGGCCCACCACTGAATTTTTTTTTTTCTGACCGGAGCGCCATTCGCTGCTGCCCGAGGCGCGCCCTGTGGGCCGCCCTTCCGTCGAGGTCCCTTAGAGGCCCCTCCCATGGCCCCCCGTGCCGCCCCTCGCGGCCCCTAGCGGCCCCGTCGCTGCCCCTACGCGGCCCCGTAGCCGCCCCTAGCGGCCCCGTCGCAGCCCCCCTACGCGGCCCCGTCGCCGCCCCTAGCGGCCCCGTCGCCGCCTCTCCACCTACGCGGCCCCGTCGCCGCCCCTAGCGGCCCCGTCGCCGCCCCTAGCGGCCCCGTCGCCGCCTCTCCACCTACGCGGCCCCGTCGCCGCCCCTAAGCGGCCCCGTCGCCGCCCCTACGCGGCCCCGTCGCCGCCCCTACGCGGCCCCGTCGCCGCCCCTACGCGGCCCCGTCGCCGCCCCTAGTGGCCCCGACGCCGCCTCCCTACCTACGCGGCCCCGTCGCCGCCCCTAAGCGGCCCCGTCGCCGCCCCTAACGGCCCCGTCGCCGCCTCCCTACCTACGCGGCCCTGTCGCCGCCCCTACGCGGCCCTGTCGCCGCCCCTACGCGGCCCCGTCGCCGCCCCTATCGGCCCCATCGCCGCCCTCAGCGGCCTCGTCGCCGCCTCCCTACCTACGCGGCCCCCCTTGCCGCCCCTAGCGGCCCCTTCAGCCGCCGAGCCGCCCAGCAGCCGAGCCGCCGAGCAGCCGAGCCGCCAAGCCGCCCGACAGCCGAGCCGCCCAGCAGCCGAGCCGCCGAGCAGCCGAGCCGCCCAGCAACCGACCCGCCGAGCCGCCCAGCAGCCGAGCCGCCGAGCCGCCCAGCAGCCGAGCCGCCCGACAGCCGAGCCGCCCAGCAGCCGAGCCGCCGAGCCGCCCAGCAACCGAGCCGCCGAGCCGCCCTGCCGTCGAGCCACTACTGTTCCTACCGGCGCGCCCCGGCCCTACTTACTCGGACTGGTGAGATCACTCCCTGTTAGGCCACTGCAGTCATGGCTACCCCCAGTGTTCTTACCTTTGATACTGAGGGTCGTGCTGTTGACTTTGAGGTCTGGGTCGATGACCTCCAGCTGTTCCTACAGTGCGATATTGCAGACGGACTCTCCCTGTTCGATCTCACCTCTGCTGC